GTTGTTAAGTGCCCTCTAGTTTGTTCCAACTCATAGCAACCCTGTATAGGGTTTCAATGGAGCAGCTGGTGCATTTGAACCTTGTTGCTGATTCTACAGCACCACACCAGGAGCCCTAGTACTGCTGTAGTTGTTGTTGTTAAGTACCGTCGAGTCGGTTCCAACCCATAGCGACCCTGTATTGGGTTTCTGTGAAGCACCTGGTAAGCTTGAACCACTAACCTTGCTGTTCAAGCCAACTTTGTAATCCAGCACCTTAACCCACAGTGCCACACCAGGACACCAATACTGCTGAGTGGGTTCTAAATGCAAATCTTTAGGGTTACAGTTAAATATAAACTATTTATAACACCTTGGTATCTCATCCATTGATATATTCTTTATAAATTTGACAGAGTAAAACTCAACAAGAGAAAAAAGAAGATGGTTCTAATCTGGTTTTGAATCTGACTTTTCTAAATGGCATGGTTGATAAGAAAATGATAAAGGACAGCTTTGGGTTTTAGATATATCCTGTTTCCAAATAAGAACCTCACTTCACTTGACCTCCAATTTCTTGTTCCTGAATGATCCATTTGTTTACACATCAAGAGGCACACTCTTGGAGCTCAGTAATCTTTCTCTAGCTGAGAGCATTATTTGAGAACACAGAGATTTGCTGACTCTTGAAAGTCTCAAGCACTGACTGCAACAGTACCATTCGCTCAAACAACTGAGCTTCAGGTTTTCAGATATTTAATATTAAGCAGTTTGTGATCACAAGCTACTAAATATTTTCAACATATTTGTATTCCACATTCAAGAGTTTGATAGTTAAAAATTCAGAATATGGAGAGAAACTTATCAGGTTAGTAGTTCAAGTCAGTAACTTGGCATCCTATGACCTTGGAAAAGTTACTTGCCCTCTGTTTCTTAAGTGTAAAATGGGGATGATAGTAGTAGTGTAAGACTCTCTGGTGGTCTGTGGGCTAAGCCACTCCTCAGGAGAAAGATGAGGCAGTCTTCAGTAAAGATTAACAACCTCAAAAACCCCATGGAGCATTCTATTTTGTCCTATAAGGATTAGCCCTGCTGAGAACCACAATGTTGGTAGTTGGAAACAATCTTGTTGCTGTTGTTATGTGCTGTGAAGTCAGTTCCTAATTCTATGACCTAGTGCTGTGTAGTTGATTCCTGCTTATACAGATGCCTGATTCCGTGCCATACTCACAATTGTTTTTATGTTTGAGTACACTGTTGCAGTCACTGTGTCAATCCATCTCAATGA